CCCAGCTGTTATAAACCCTGCACTTTGTATCAAGGGCATGTCAGGCCCATCCCAAGTCCCTTTTTAGTATTTGTTTGCAGAGGTTGGCGACTCTAGGTCCAGCTCACAGGCTCTACTGAATTTGCCTCCTATTAAGATATTTCGTGACTGTATTCCTGTGTCCAATACTCTATTGCATCTTAGCTAAAAACCTGGAGCCAGTGGAAGGGAACAAAGCGAATGTGGGTTATGAGTCCTCTTGGCTAAAGCAGTGTCCCTTGTTCGTAGGCATTTCTGTTACCACCAAGAGAGGTAAGAGTGGGTTCTCGTGTTGTTCCAGAGATGAATACACCTTAAGCAGCAAAACATCCATGCTAATTTGGGTTTAACTCCCTTAAGAATAAATGTGCTTAATGGCAGAGACGATTAATCTTCCTAGATAAGGATCATTTGGAGGTTCTTATCCTTGCAATGTTGAGCACTTCTGCTCAGATCTGACACACTCAGGGCCAAATCCTGCTCATTCTTTTGTTAGTGGCAGACACAGAGAACAGCTCAGATCTTTTTCACCTGGGGGAAATGGCTGCCCTGTTGTAGAAAATACCAAGTGTGTTACATCAATTACCTTTTCCTATTAAGAGACTGATGCCAAAAGGCTCATATATGGTATAAATTAGGAAAGATTTACCAGAGTCAATGGAGTTTGTAGGGGTTTTTTTGGTAGTGTGGCTTAGTGTCTTATTTATGGTTCCTAGGCAAGATTTTTCAAATGGTAGCAATGCTATCAAATTTGGAGGAATAGGGACAGTATTGGTAGAAAATGTAGAACCTTTCAGTAACTGGATAGGGGAATCCTGGTTTCATCTTTTTAAAAGCAAAGCTGAATTTTAACACAGAAAGAAGGGAGGGACTCCTTCATTGTCACTATTTTTTAGCAGATGCCTTGATTTATTGATAACACTCCAGATTATAAAAAAATGAATCTGAGTGTCCTGAAGTGACTAAAGCCTCATGCTGGTGCTTGTTTTCAGAGCTCTTTACAAACCCTCTGAGTCTGATTTTGCTGCAAAATGCTGTGACTCTTCCCTTGATTTGACTGGACTATGTTGAGAAATAGTTAAGGAGCTTTTAGTTTATTGGGATTTGCATTTGAGTTTCCTTAGGGTAGACGATTTCCTGATATGGGGAGGATGTGACTCACCTCCTGGAGACAACTGAAGCCCTGGGAGTGCTGCTCCCTGGGGACCCTGAAGAGGAGGGACAGGCTTCTGGGCTGGGAGTCTGCAGGCGAGACATTTCAAAGCAATTCATTGCTCTTGCTGTGTTAAGCTGTGCTGCTGGAGAACACACGGTTTGGTGGAGGAATATTTCCTGACTCACTTAGAATTTCATGAGCCACGAGCCCATCCAGGATTGCTTGTTTATCTTGTCTAGGGACCAAGACAGAGCTCTGCTGCATATTTAATTAGATGGGGGGAAGGCAAAGAATTTTAAGATAAGATTATCTTCTGCTCCTCATCACAGCCCTCGTGTACAAAGTTTGCATGGCATGCAAAACAGAGCCTGATGGTAAGCAGCTTGGTTTTGAGGACACTGAACATGAAAACAGCCTTCTAGAGTAATACTTTTTTCTGTTGACTACTCCAGCGAATTCTTTTGTGTATATGACTAAAAAAAATTTGTTGTGCAATCTTATGAAAATTAACCAGGAGATGTAAAAAGATGTGCAGGGACCTGGGGCTTCTGGAGGAATAAAGTCTTTCTGCTTTCAACAGTCACAGGAATGAAAAAGAAGAACAGGTGAAGAGAAGCTGAGTCCAAGTTTCTCATTGCTGCAATAGGCTGACAATAATCAGAATTAAGATACTGGGAATGACAGTATAAAGTCAGTCAGAAATCAAAAAGCAATGGATTTTTACAAAGAGCAATGGATTTTATATCGTGACCTTTCAGCTCCAGTTCTGCAAAGGTTTTTGTGTGCATTTAGGGAGGAGAGGATGACTGGCTGCTAGTCCTTGCTGCGTAGTGGGCGGCAGGAGCAGAGTCCCAGGTGGTGGAAGGGATGTGCAGATGATACAGAACCAGGATGGAGTCCTGTGTGGTTGTGTTTAATTTTCAATCTTCAGTGTTGGCACCAGTGTGCAGCAAACGTTACAAGTACGTATTGCTCTCGCGCAGAACACAGAAATGTCAAGAGTCTGCACCACCACCACAGCTGCAGACCGTCTTCTGTTCTCCCTGAGATAGCCTGCTGCTTTGTAACTCAAAAACCTTCAGATCTGTGCTCTCCCCTTGCAGTGAGGGTCAGAGGAAGCCTGGGGGACATCTGTATAGCCAGTCAGTGTGTGAGTTGTTACTGTCCAGGGCTTGCTGAGGAGCTGGGGTCCCGCTCTCCTCCTGGCAGAAGGATGTGGGAGGAGCATAAAATGGTGATTTAAGCCTAGTTTTACTAATTCTGTGTCTCTGAACAAGTTGTTACTGCTATACAAGAAACTCCCCATCTGTGAGCTTAATGGTCATGAAATAATGGTTGCACTTTGCTAATGCATCACTGATGGGTATCAAGCAATGCCTTGGTGAGGGAGTGAATGGATGAGCCTCATGCGAATGGTTTGTAACCTGGGCAGGGGGTGGGGAGGATGTGCATGTACTGGGCTGGACACAAAACATCTCTAAGGAGGACCAAGGCCATCAGGCTGCACACCAGGCTACCTTGGTCCCAGAGCATTCTGCATCTCTCTGCTGTTCAGGAAGGGATTCAAGATGCTCTGGGTCAGAGAGAGATTCACGGTGCACAAGGGAAAGCTTGATTTCCTAACACTGTGGTGTATATAGCTTTTTATTAGCTTTCATGCACTGCAGTAAAACTCACCCCGGCACTGAGCATTCACAGTGCCAGAGAAATGAGTAAGAGTCAAGACCAAGTAACTGCCTTTGTGGTTTCATGAGGTCCTCCTGTGTCTTTGCACTTCTAAATGCTGGCATAATAAATCCTCAAGTGCTTCTTTGCTCACAGCAGATGTGATTAATACAACTGTTAGCTGATGTGTCTTCTAGAAGAAACAACTGACAACCCCTAGGTGGATAAGCACTAGAGGCCTCAAACCCCTGCGATTTTCTCTGCTTTTGAGAAACTAAGAGATAAAATACTTCTGTTTTTCTTTTTCTCTTCAAATCCATAATCAGACATGATGTAAAGACAGTCACTTCTGCAATAAGCATTTTGGAGAGTGCCTGTTAACGTGAAAATGCTCTAATGCTCTGCACAGCTGGAGCCCCTATGGGGCTGGGTGGCTCCAAGTGCGATGTGAGCATCACAACAGCATGTCCCATCTGCTGTCCCCAAGCCCCTCCTGCCCAGCTGGCTTGGGGAGCGAGGGATGTCCAGGTGTACAGTGCCTCTTTCCCACTCAGAAGGTCCTCTGCTTCTGAGTGAGAAAAGGGGGCCTGCAGGGATGCCTTTCTTCATCCTCACTCCCATCTTCCCACAGGGAAATCCTGAGCAGAACACAAATATCCTCAGTGACTTTCCCAGGTTTCCCTTCTGCTTCTTCCAGTGTAATTAGATCCAATCATTTCTGCTTGTTTGCAGGTCTTGTTTGCAGCTGGAAGCTCAAACCACCACTTATTTTCTGTGTAGGTTCCTAGTCTGGAAATGGATCTAATTTGCTTTACCAAATTATAAGCAAATTAAGCCAAACACATTGTGTTATGTCCAGATGTATTATGGAGCTTTCATGAAGGAGGAAACCCAGTATTTGTCATTGCTGCGAGTTTCTTCTTTCCTCAGTATCGGTAACTTTGTGTTATCAAAAAATATAAAACATCTCTATAAGTGGTAGAGTTTTTCCTTGAGGCCAGGAGCTGGGTAGCTGGAGCTGCATCTGTCTCACATCTTTCATCTTCTCAGCCCTTAAAGAATATCCTTGCCAACATCCCTCACAGTTCCTCCCCTTGCTCTTAGACACACTTTGATTATCTGCAATATTCTATTTGATAGTATTACTAAATAGTCCTGAAAATTTTCCTTTTGGCAACTGCTTCTTCCCTTTCAAATGGAATTTTTTTCCCTGGTTGTAAATCATCTTTAAAGCCTTGTGTGTCTGAGGAGAGTAAATACCCCATTGCTCCAAATGAGTCAAGTATTTCGCATTTCCATTTCCTGACCCATCAGGGAGAGTTTTGTGCAAAATCCAGGACAAATGTTAAGGTGATAAAAGAGCATTGGTTTTGGTTCATTCTCTGGTTAGAACAGTTGATGTTATGGAAAACATCCAGCACTGTCCAGACTTTGTGGAGACTGAATTCAAAGAGGAGAAATATTTTACAGGTACTGCTACATTTCAGTGACAATTTTACTGACTGGCAAATACTGCATCACCTGAGGTTTTCCACATAATTTCTTAGTTTACTGATTTAGACCTGAAATATATCTGAAATATAGTTTTTTGTCAGGAAAGTTTGCAGTCTGGATGCGAGATGGACTCTCCATCTGCATTTATAGCCATAAACATCAGCTTTAGTTCCCTTCTGCCAAACCACATTTATTCTGAGACAGGGGAAATGCTGCTCCTTTTCAAAAAAGTCTGTTTAACCCTACTGATTTGCAAGATAGCTGAGAACAATTAAGAACTCTCACAGCTTAACTGGCTGTGATAATTAGCAGTCACTAAGCCTATCTTTGGGGAAATATAGCATGCTGTCCTATTTTAGTCCTACCACAGTAAGGACTGAGAAAATAATATAAATATCCATTACTCTCCTGAGCAGGTCCTTGGGATGGAGAGGCTGTGTGTGATCTCTGCCCGCCTGACTCAGGAGGTGTGCCATTCCAGGAAACACAGGCGATAAATTTAACTTGTCATCGTGACGCAAGCGAACACTGTTGGCAGCCAGGGTGGCAATGCATGCTGCTTCCTTCTTACAGGAAGAGGTAATTTTGTATTAGTAACTCCTAGAAGCAGCTTTCTGCCCGCTCCCGGTGGGTGGGGAGGCAGTGGTCGGGTGCTGGCCGGGGCGAGATGCTGGGGAGGCTGCTGGGGCGCAGCCCCAGGCGGTGGCGGGTGGCTTGGCTGGTCCTGCACCCTGCCAGAGCCTTCGGGGACAGAGCGAAGGACGCTCAGGATATGGCTCTGCGGACAGCTAATCCAGGTGGGTAGAAAGGCTTTGGTCGCCGTTTTGTGCTGCAGCGCCTGGGAAAGGACGAGAAAATGACCCTTGTTCTCGTCTGTGGCTGTGTTGCTGCAGCGCTGCATCTCTTGGGGTTACCAATGCTCTGGGGCACGGAGCAAACCCAGAGCTCTGACTAGTGCAGTGCACAGGGATAAATTTTTTTCTGTTAAATAATCCTCCTCCTACGGCAGCAAATACAAACTGATACTTCACATCAGGGAACTTGTTAATTAAAAAAAAATAAATAAATGTTCCACCTTCTACCCAGCTGCCAGGTTTCCAGAGAAGGATCCATTCATGTCCCTGCTTGTGCAGGGCTGGTGCAAGTGGCAGAGTTGCACTCCTCTGCTCGCCCCCAATGCTCCCTGCCAGATGATGTCCAGAACTGTGCATGTTTGTGGCAGGCAGTGCCCTGGCATGGGCTGCTCCCACATGGGCATGGAGGTAGTTTCTCTTTCAACCTGTACCACCACCTCCTTGGCCGTGCCTTTGCAGACACCTCACCCTGGGCCACGTGGGGCTGCCTGTGCTCCCATGGGATGGCTGTGGGTCTCCAGTGTGGGGCTTTGCCCTTGTCTTCCCTGGGATGGAGTCTGTCCTTTTAGTGATCCATCTTACTGCTTCCTACAGATCTGATTCAGACACTTGCTGATACTTCAGATGTAGGTCTCCTGGTCTCGCTGGCACTCTGTAACAGAAACAGGAGAAGCAGGAGACTAAATTTACCTGGAGGTCTGGGTGCCAAGATTTACACCTGGGATTTTTCATCCTTCCACAAGTCCTGGCATGCATGAGCAGGCCTGGGGTCAAGGCACTTAATGTAATTTCACCATCTCAATGCAGGCAGGAGATGCTCCCTGTGCCCTGTTTTGTAGCGGCAGTGATTTCCTTTCAGCCAAGCACCAGCAATCCAGTAACAACCAGGGATTGTAGGACACCGAGACTGAGGCCATCCTCATGTCATCCCTTCCTGCATGCCCTGGTCACCCGCAGGGCGTTTCTAAACACCAGTCACATGTTTGCAGGTACAAGGCACCATAACCTAGAATCTTGGGTGCACCTGCCTGGGTGTGTGAGCAGTTCAGCTGCCTCGTGATGACCACCCATACAGGTGTGCAGTGCAAAAGCCTGGATGTGAGCTAGCCACAGCTTACTCTATTTTTGCAGAGTCTCCCTGCCACTGCCCTCATCATGGCCCATCATTGGACTAGTTTCCATCAAGAGGAGCCAGAGTCTCTTTCTCATTGCGCTCATGGTGACAGCATGTTAATGGCATCACCGTGGTAGTTTGGTGGGGTGTAATGTATCATCATTAGAGTACAGTAATGTGGTACCCAGCTTGCATGAGAACAACTGCCAGGCTCCCACCAGGCTGTATTTTAACAGACCTCGTCTCTCCATCAGCGCTTTCAGAAGGAGATGCTGCCGAGGAGTTATTGGTGCTGCTGGCAGTTTGTTTAACTCACTAGTTGGGCCATTTAAAAGCAAGATACAAGCAGGGTGAGAGCACTGCAGGCTGGGGTGACTTCTGCCTCACATCCTTTCCCCCCTTAATCAGGAAGGCTAGAAGAGATTTTTAGTTTAAAATCTACCTAAACTAAAGGAAAAAAAAATTAAGCAAAATAAAATAAGCTGCAAATGTAACAAAGCATCTGACACCAGCTGCTGAGTCCTTTTGACATTAGAAAGCACATTTGGCTCTCAGAGAACAGAAAAGTGCCATTCTGAACTTTCAATCCTTTTCCCCCTGTAACAACAGCTTTTTTACTCTTCCCTTCTTTAAGCTTAGCTCATTGTTGTCTTTTATAAAATCTCTTACAGGTTACAAAGCTTTCAGAAATGACAGAAGGCCTACAAATTTTGATAAAAAGGTGTTAGTATGGGCAGGATGCTTTAAAAAGGAGGAGGACATTCCCAAGCACATATCGTAAGTAGGTCTGTCTGAACGATGCTCCTGGATGTGAATTTACAGATTGAGACCCCAGTCTGCATTACCCAGAATTATGCTTACATGGTGAGGGTTAGTGTTTCTCCATGCTGACTGGACCTGCTGCTACTGGTGTCCAAAAATAATCTGAATTTTTGGGAACATGAACTTTTTGTTATGTCCTGTGAAGTAAACTAGATTCCCTTGTTGTAGATACCATATGTTTCAGACTAAGCTGAAGTGTTTTTTACAAGACAAGAGGCTTTGTAACTCAGAAGTCACCGCAGTAAAATATCATCCACTTCAAGTTTTTGCATGCTTTGCTAGTTTTTATTGATTAGCAATTAATAATGCTGCATAAATTTTAAAAAGAAGTTGGGGCTATACACAGCTTTGGTGAAAGCCATCTGCAATGAGTTCTTCACATCGGGGCTATAGTTTCACCTCCTTGTCAAGTTATTTTGTTAGAGGATTGTCACTCATTTTGGAGACCTGATGTTTCCTGATTTATGGCATCCTGGGGGCTCCTCCAGCTGGACTTCCCTCGCAGGTGTAAATAAATCTATGGCTGGGTATGATTTGATGAATGACTCATTGCCACGTGTGAATTGTCAGATACACGCCGTGGGGCACTCATGGAAGGTGGTGGAGATTTCCCAGCGATGGTTGTGACTGTCATCTGCCTGGGGAGATGACTCCGGACGGACAGGGCAGTTGTCTGCTCCAGCTCAGGCTCAGCATCCCGCCGCAGGCAGATGGTTGTGGGGCTAGTGCCAGCTGCCTGGCAGGGGCTGTGCTGCAGCGGGACAGGGCTCCAAAGCGCCATGTGCAGCTGGGATGGGGATGTGGCCACAGACCCAGTCACCACATGCTGTGCCTCTTCTCTGGGTGAGAACTCCCTGTTGCTCTTAGCAAAAAATGTCATGTACGTGCTTTTATTCCACTGAGGGTGGCATTGCCTGGCCCTGGTGGCATGGCCCCAGTGTCTCCTGGTGCCATGCGGCACCCCATGCCCTGCCCTGCAACACCTAAAGCCGGGCCCCTCATAATTCTATTATCACGATGAAAAGACTTTCCTGTCCTTGTCATTTTTCAGGTGTTCACTCTCATATGCAATAAAAGAAGGCAGGAGAGCAGGATTTGTTATTCCTGTTGTTACTGATGACTGTTGAGAGTAGCAATACCCCACTTGTGTGGGAGGGTGGCTAAATCTTTCCCCCATAGGTTAATTTTTTGAGTCCTTTAAGCACTTTCAGAAGGAGAATGCTGAAACACATTGTACATTAATAGGCGGCTGCTGGAAGACTTGAGGATTCATTACCAAGCTCCCCATGATCTCATTTCACACATGCTGCTGCAGGATGGAAACTCTGCTCTGTCCTCCGCAGGTCTGAGGTCCTTGACGCAGCGAGGAGCAGCGTCAGGATAAAGGTTTGCTACATCATGATTGCACTGACCTTGCTGGGCTGTTTGGCCATGGTAATCACCGGCAAAGAAGTGAGTATTGTTTCTGGGTAAAGTGAACTGATCCACTATATGTATGCTCTATGTACCTTCTCTTTGTAACTAAGAGCCTGGGTGACAGATAGGTTTGAGATTATGTCCATATGAGCAATATTTGCACAGGATCTCTATCACCCCGTTCTCTGGAGGAGAGGTTGGCATGGGAAAGCACAACTTGCTGGTTAATGTGTTTCTTCTGACCCACTTTGCCATAAACCCATGCTCTGTATCATGGTATCTCAGCCAGAGGTCAATCCAACGGTTGTGGAGTAGCTCAGACAATGTCAATGGCAGCTGGTCCTGCCCTGTGTCCTCGGGCCATGAGGCTCCCATGGTGCTGCCCGCCTTGCCTCCATGCCACCGTGGCCAACAAGAGCTGTGACACTCACTTCTTCCCATCCCACTGATGGGAAGGAGGGTCTCCAGCCTGACTCGCATGTCCCAGCGCACCTGTAAACAATTTACAGTGTAATTTTCCTGCTAATCAGAGCTGCAAATGCTGAAAATTTGGTAAAACAGGGAAACACATTAACTTCCATCACTGTAAAAATACCAAAAAGGCCAGTGGGGGCCAAAGCAAGTGATGCAAACAGGGGAAATTTAGTGGTGAGAAATGTGTGCCTGCAATGATTTTCACCATTTCTTTTCAAGGCTGCTAAAAGGGATCACACGCTGCTGAGGATCAACACGGAAAAGAAGGCCAAGTGGAGGGCTGGAGTGGAGAAAGATCAGGAGGCAGCTATTGGGAAACCACAATGATTTGGAACAGATTTATTTTAACAGCAGGAGATAAGTGATTTGCACATGTGGCATATGTACCTGTATTCATTTAACTCTTCAGAGCTTTTTCGCTGAAACCTCTCAGGGCAAAGACGTTACTGCTTAAAAACTGCTCCATATGAACTGGGAAACTCCTGTGGAAACTCCAACAGCCGCTTTCTGTGGCCTCTGGTATTTGGCACTGGGTTCAGATGAAATACAGAAATCTGTTCTAAACTGGGAAGGATGAATGCAGGGCTCCTCAGCTCAGGATGAGTTTTTCATGGTGCTGCCGATGCTCAGCATGGTGCTGGGGCTGTCTCCTCGCAGCCAGGAAGGATGCGGCCCCATGTCAGGGAGCATCCCACTCTGTGCAATGCCTCTGGTGCAAACAGCCTTGGCCAAAGTGACCCAGGGCAGGGGGAAAAGGAATCTGAAATATGTTTTGCAGCCACAAAGAGGTCAATTATCTCTACTTCTGAGCCTGCTGCAGTTGCTGTCCCCTCTCTCTCCCCAGCCCCTTGTGGGATCTGTGGGCAGGGGAGAAAGAAGACATGAGAATGAAGAGGGGCTGGGAAGATGGAGGAGTATGAGCAGACCCTGGTAACTGATTTGGATCAAAAAAATGCTTTGGGCCAGAGGAGATGGCAGTGATGTGGAGTGGTTTGGTTGCTATGGGGCAGCCCAGGGAACCCATACCTGGTGCAGGAAGCCTGGCCTGGAGGCATCTTTTGTCCTGTTGCACCTCACTGGCTTTGCTTTTTCATCTTCTGCTTCGAGTCATTGTTGTGAAAGTTCTCTAGCACTTGCTTGGTTGTGATTTTAGTCAGGAGTAATTGTTAATACATGGTTTGCTAGAACTGGATTCCTTTTAATCATCATAGTTCATTAATTCATAATAAAACAGCTGTCCAATTACATCTAAAACAAATGCAGCTCTTCACAGCTTCATTTAAAGTGCCACCAAACTCTCTGGGATGATGTTTAACAGATGGGATACATCGTAATGAAATATTGAAAGTTACATTTTCATGAAGTGATTAAATTTCAAGGCAGGCCCCAGTTCATGCTTGTGGATGCTGATGGTCTGAGCCCCCGTGTATCATTCATAACCCCTCAAGACCTGTAAGACGGGCTGGTGGAGCTGAGTGTGCTGCATGAGGTGCCAAGGGACGTGGAGTGCAAAACCCAGCCGTCTTACCCTGCTGCCACAGCAGATGGCAAATGCTGTGACCACGCTCAGCCTTTGTGCAGTGTCCTGAGCATCACCCCAAGGCTTGGTCTTCTCAAGGTCTATCACATGGAGCAGTTGCACTTGTGCTCCAGGGGAGTCTGGAAGCTCCTGCTCACGTTTCTGAGGTTTATTGTGTCAAAAATCACGTCCACTTATCGCTGGTGTGTCACTACATGAACCAGCTGCTGGCAAGGACAGGCTGAGCTGTTGCCAGACTGTCAGCAGTCGTTGGCCTCTGGGACTCCATCTCCTGTGCCTGTGGTCATTGGGCAGCTTTTTCCCTCTGATGCTTCCTAGGAGCACTTTTCTGCTCATTGCACACACATTTTGGATGAGGAGCGCGTGTGGGGGGGATGTTACATCTGTCACAGCTCGGTGTTTGCAGTCCTTGTTTCCAACTCACAGCCCCATGCAGTACAACTCACCAAAAGCGATGTCTGCTCCCTGTAGTATTTCTCACAAAGTGCATCTCAGGGAAGTGAAAATAATGGTCTAGGACAAGCACAGAGTGAACAAGTCTCTGCTGAGAAGGCATTTTTGCCTGCACAGTAATATGGGCTCTTTCATTTTACATGACCTGGTTTTCTTGGTTAGTGCAATAAACCTCAAAAATTACCTCAAAGTTAATGTTCATTTGGGGATAAAGTAAAACAACTCTGGTCAGTCTCTTAGATGTTTTTTTTAAATTCTTTAATGGCTTTCATATGCCCTTTTTAAGAAGGCACACGTATCATGTAACACTTAAAGGAACCCATTTCGATGCTCATAAACAAATCCACATCCATGTTTTGAGCTTCCCTGACTTAAACAGGAAAGAAAATGACCATAACCATATATAAAGAACAAGCAAATCAATTGTGACTTGTTCCTCTCTCTGCTCTGCACTTCCCTCTGTCGGGGGGGAGGGGACTGGAAACCTGCTTCAGGTGTGAGCCATCATCTAATTCTCTTAAACATCCTGGGTCTCTGTTGACTACTGCATAAAGCTGCTGCATTACACATCATCATTAAGAAAAAGAAAAAATCAATTCCTCTTCCCTGAGCTGCTGATGACGGGCCGCTTCTGAGCCATCAGATGACCCGGGCGCTTTTGGGCTCTCACAAAGAGCTATGACTGTTATGTAGGGAATAATCCTTTACCACTCCTGGCTACATGATTAATCATTTTAATATCATAATATTCCCCAAAAAATCAATCACGCTAATCGCTGGCTTGCACTCCGTCAGTGGTGGGTGGAGCGCAGCCTCAGCTGGAGCCATCCCCTGTAGTAACTGGAGATGCCAGCAGAGGACATGGCAGTGCTGATACCTCTCCAACACTGGGACTCATCACTGCTTGTTAAAATCCATTTCCATCTGTGTTTGAGAAGTCCTTTGACTCTTCTCTTGAAAAGCTTCTAATTAACACAGCTTCCTGAATGTATAATTGGCTAATGCTCACACCTGAGGGTTGTGGGTGGTGGTTTTTTTTATTTTCTCTCCCATCTATTTTGCTTCAGTGTCACACCTGATCCTCTAGTGATTTAAAAAGGGGATGGGAGTTTTTATTAGGTAGGAGCTATTCTTCCCTTTTTATACGATGCCCTGTATTTCTCCAGCCTTGGTCCTGAGGACAAAGCAAGGGGCTGGCTCCTCTCCAAGCCGGGGGATGGAGCTGAGAGTGTGCTGGTTTGCTGCAATGTTTTGGAGACCAAGAGTGCAACTTTCAACTCTCACCTCCTTGTTTACTGCTGTGCACCGGGAGGAAAGAAGCTTCCTCCCTTGCAGGATTTTTGTCATTTTAATGAGCTCCTATATGGAAATGGTTAACAATGTGCTGGTTGCTGGTGCCATAGAGATTTGCATTATATTAACAACTATTGGGGAAGATTTTCCCTAGTAGCTGGAGTTGGTCTAATTGTGCTTCCATTAAAACCAGTGCTGCAGTTCCTCCTGGCTGTGAACTAAGGTTATCATCCACTGTTTTTTGAAATCTCAGTGATTTCCAGAGATTCAGCTTCCCCAGGGAGCCAGGCTGCTGTGGGGCAGAGCTGGCTGCACCAAGCTTTGTTCTGCCAACGTGGTGAGATGAAGTTTGTACTGGAGGCTCTGCATCGTGAGCATCCCAGTGCCTTAGAGAAAAGATATGAAATGGTAAAGCCTGAGCTCAGGAGATCACTGTGTATTCTTTACTAGTTTTACCTCTCTTTTGGACCTGCTCAGGGGGTTTCTAGTGACACTTGATTTCTTTCCATCCATCTGCTATGTGCAGCTCTTCTCCTGGGATGCAGCAAGGCTGACGTGATCCTGCATTTGCAAAGGACTTTTTCCCTGGATGAAGGTGAAGTGTAAAGACTTCCCTGTTCTTTCAGTGTTTAATCTCCCACCAAGCTGGAAAACTGCTGCTTCTTTTAACATTGAATGCACCCAGCTTCAGCTTCCAGGCATTGGACATTGGCTTCAATGTGGAATAGAAAACATCCCATCTCAACTTTCCTGTGTGTAACCAGTCGCTCCTTGGCTATTGTTTGCAGTTGGATTCCTGTTATGTCCAAAACATCTGTGGTTTCCAACCGTTGCTTGGTGGGTATCACTGCCTTACTGGCCAGTTAAGTGACTGACACTATAGTGAATTTATTCCTGTATCAAGCGCTTTACTACATTAGTAGCCTCTTCATAAACAATCCAAATAGATTTTTCATTTATTTTATCATAGAATCAATAATCTAGTACTTTTGCAGAAAGAAAGGATGTAAAAGCTTTCCAGACTTTACTGACTGCCCTGGAAAATTAAAAAGCATGGTGATTATGCATCAGAAACATGTTCTTCCCTGTCTGTGCCCAAGGCACCAGCACCCGCAGGAACAGCATGGCCAGCCAGCGGCTGCAGATCTCCTGTTGTTCCTGGGACTGCCAAGGGTCAGTTCAAAGGAGCTTTAGGGTTAAATGTCTTCTCTGGATGAGATGCAATGGTGGTTTAGATCTGTAAAGGGACCTGCTCCCTCTGATCTTCCAGCTTGGAGCAGCCTCATGCTTTCTCTTTTCTCAGCATTGTTGCAGCAAGTAAGTGTTGGCTGCTGCTAGCCCACAGGTATCTGGGGCCCTCATGCTCATCGTAATTTCAGATTAAACATCACTCTCCTGTTTGGAATTGGCATGAAGTCATTCTAGCTTAACAGGAAAGCAAGGCCAATTTTCAATAATTTGAATTAATTAATGGATCATTCATTAATGCATTGAGGTAGCATTAAAGTAATTTTCCATGGTTAAGTAGTTTGATGATCATTAGTGCTGTACGATTTATTGCAAAACCTCTGTGTGACAGTCATGCGATGAGTAGGTAGCTCTTGAAGTGCTCTGAAAGGATCTGACCATTTTGTTTCTTTGCTCTGCACGGGATCTGAACACAAACCTCAACACTACATTAGCCAAGCTGGATCCACGCCTTCTCTGTGCATGAAACAGCTTTCTATGTGGAAGTCTAAAGCTGAGATCTGCCTCCTCCTTTGCGGCACTGCGTTCCTCAGTGAAGAGACCCAAACCTTGAGCTATTTGGACAGGGACTGCTGTTTGCTGAGTGTGTGAGGGCTTGCCACAGGGAGGAGGTCAATCTGGAACAGGATTTCGGAGAAAACAGTTGGGCTTGCTCATGGCTCACGTATGCTATACAGAAACTGCTTGTAAGATTAGACCAGAAAATTAAGGGATCTGCGTGCCGGTCTGTAACACACTTCTCCCAGATGACGTATGGTCCTGAGACTTTTTCTAAATGAAATGGAAACCAAAA